GGACTGGAAGTACTTCCAGTCCACTTCTGGGTCCACTGCTGAGTGCACCACAGCCCCCTGTCCCCACCCCTGCACCCCCTGGCTCAGCAATCACCACAAGGGGACCCTGGGTGCCCCCCCACCCCCAGACCCAGGAGGCACCAATCACTGAGCTGGGGGGATGAGGGGGTGTGAGGGGGGAGCCCCAGCACACTCCCCAGTGGACCTGGAAGTGGGCCAGAAATGCTCCCGGTCCATTCCAGGTCTGCTGCAGAGCACGCTGGGGACCCCCCCACACTCCTGTAGGATGCTCCATTTGCCCCAGCATCTCAGCATTCGCGAGCCTCCTGCTACCTTGAGGTATGTAGAGAAAACATTTAAAGCTGTGTTTATATCCAAATCACCGAATCTTTCCAAATCTCTCCAAATTGATTCGGAGAGATTAAAGGGTCTCCTGATTTGATTTGGATTCGAAGATTTGGCCACCAAATCAGGCCAAATCTTCACCAAATTGAATCAGGGACCAAAGCTTTGCACAGCCATAGAACTTACTACTGCTGTGTTGCAGAATAAACATTTAAAACAAAAACGAATTTGGAAACAGTGAAGCAACCTTCTCTTGTCCTTTCATTTCATGATTATATTATGTTACACTGCAAAAGCTAAACATAATGACAATGTCAAAACAAAACAAGACATTCAAGACAAAATTACCCCATTTCTGTTCTGTTCTGTTCTGTTCTGTTCTGTTCTGTTCTGAACAGTTCTGAAATTTCCCTATTGAAGAGTTTATTGAAATCAGCATGTCCACATTAAATATTTCAGGTTCAGTGAATCAGAATTTTTGGATGGAAAACTGTTTCAGGAAAAAAGTTTGATCTGCTCTGGTGTCTCTGTTTTTCACAGTTTATCTTGTTCCTATCTGCCTTTCAATTGGATTGATAGATCTTTGGGGCAGGCAGGTACAAGAACACATTTGGCAACAGCCAGTTCAGATCAGGAATGCTAGTATCTACATTTTATTACAAGTGATGGAACCTGATCCAGTTCCAGAATGATACAAACATCAATGTAGTTTTGGTGAACTTGGTGATGTACAAGAGAATGAAACATCTGACACAAGGCCTGTGCATTATTTATGCTACTCACTTCCCTTTTTTGATTTTAACTGATCACAGGCTGTGATAAATAAAGACAATTTCAGTAGAAACTGTTGTTGTTTGTGCATTTTGGGACACTCCACTCAACCAGGAACATAATAATTTGTGGCTGTTGCATACAGAGCACTTTGGCTTCTTTTACTCTTTGAAAGTCAAGGCTATTACAGAAGAGAGCATACAGCAAACAGAACTCTAAAAAAAAAAAAAAAGAATTAGTATGTCACCAAAATGTGGAAGTGCCTTATACAAATACTAGCTGATTTCCTTCTGTGAAGTGTAATTACTGCTGTTATCTATTATTTATACTGAACAATTCTGCCGTCATTTACTTGAAAGTTTGTGAGGAGGATTATAGATGATTCTTGTGCACCAAGCTGCCCAGTGTGTCGAACTACTCCTGGCTGTATTTGATCATTGCGTCTATGATTTTGTTTCAGGTGCTACCTGTGAAACTGGGAAAGAGGTGAGTCATTGTTCTTCGGTTCTATTGGGGGAAGGCAGGAATAAGCCCCAGAAATAAATGTGCCCCTCAGCAACAAAACACTGCTTACATATGAATAGAGACAGATCCTTTAGTAACATGAGGGATGAGTCAAAGTGCAGGATCACAGGGAGTCACATGTGTGCTGCCTCCAACAAGCATATGATTGTACCCAATCTCTAATACCTCAACATACAAGTATTAACCACAAACTAGTAAGAGTCCAGACAGCTCCAGCACAGTCTCTTAGCCCCAAACTAGCCACCTTCCCTCTTACAGCAGTGCTGATGCTCAAATATGCTGCAGTCTTGGAATGCTGCCCTGGATCTGCCTCCATAATCCCTTTGTTGATGGAGATCCCCCTACCAGGCTACATTGCTTCCTTAGCTGAAGTGCAATAGTTTTTCAGGTCATGCTGCATTTGTTTGGCTACTTCCAGTAACAGCAGCATCCATCAGTACTTTACAATGGTTTTTAGGTACAGAGGTACACCTCTCCACCACCCAAGTGCCAGCCAAATGGGCCAGAATCAATCAGATGTCCTATAACCAGTCCCTTGTTCAAATTCTGGACATTCCTCTTCTCTCTTTAACCAGGAATGAGCCAGCAGGAGAAATCTCAGGCTACAATTTCTTCCCAGGCCCTAATTAACTACAGCTCAGGAAGACAGTTTAAAAGGGACATGGTGAGGGGGATGAAGATGGACACACAGACACACCATCATAGGGTTGGAAGGAACCCAAGCATCATAGTGTCCACCTTCCCACCCTGAATGAATGTAAAATATGCTATTCCTATACTATCCCAGGCATGGGCAGATCTAGGTTTTTTAAAAGAGGGGTACAGATGCTAAGGAGCATCACCACATGTAAAACAACACACAGTTTTCTCCAGTTAAAAATAAACCAGGAGCTTTACTAATATGCAAGGGGCCTAGGGCTAAATTAGTCAATGTAAGACCGAAGCAAAAACAAATATATCTTTATTGGAATGAGGTAAAAATAGCCTGCAGTGTTGTGAAATAGGAGCTGTGTTACTAGGAGCAGCTAACAGACCATAGAATTGTAGAAGAAAGGGTAGATTGAGAGAGGGTCATTAACACCTGTGGAATTAAAAGTTTAGGAGGAATCAGGTAGATGATAATGAGCCATGAATTCAATTGACTCCCTAAGTGCTGCCTGAATAGAAATATTGCTTCCACTGCCAGGCAGTCCCCTTTGGGTGGACCAGAAGAGCAGGGGTACTGGTCCCTGTACCCTACCTCTCCCTTCAGATCTGCCACCAATCCCAGGCAAATCCATATCTGGATCCAGATCCATTTTGAGTGAAATCCTGGCAGGACTGCAGTCAATCACAAACCTCCCACTGACTTCCCTGGACTCAGGGTTTCACGTTTTACCTTACCTGCTAAATAGGATCTTTCATCATCAAAGGGGAGTCCTTGATAAACAGAACATAGGGCCCTGATCAGTAAGGTAATTAATCACATGGTTGGTAGTTCAGGTCAGAGAAAAGTAGGTGTTTTAATATCGGTTGTGCTATCCCCAGTTTGGTATAGGATGCCACAGTTAACATAGTACTCAGGTAGACTTGAACTGAGATGTTCCATTCAAGAATCTCCTTTTATCTTTAATAGCTAATAGCTGTACAATAACTGAAAGATGCCTGCCTGCATATTTAACCACAGAATTTGTCTTGCCTCAATTCCAAGTTGGGAGGTTCTGCTGCCAGAGATAAGAAGAGGTAATTTATAGGCACTCTGGAAACTGAGGTCTCCCAAAATGCCTTACAATAAGGAGGAACTCACAATGACACCTGATAGTATAGTTTTTCATACAAACCTTTGTGAAATATTTTCCAGCTTCTTTGCCCTTGAAATACTTTCAGGCGTGCCTCAGGTAACCACACAATGTTAGCCCTATTAGCATTGGCATTATAAGCCCAGAGATTTTGAACAGAAATCCAATGTTAAAAACATAAGAATCATTCTATTATTCTTCTGTACTCAAGAAACAAGTGAAAACTAAGAGTTGGCATTTTCTGAGGGATGCTTTGAGTTGAACAGTGGGTGCCTTGAGTCTAACAAGAAGTGTCTTGATTCTAAAAAGGTTGAGAACCACTGCCTTAGCAGAGCTACTGCCCTCTCTGTGGCCATCCTTTCCATAGAAGCTGGCTCAGAGTCCAGAGAGATGTCATATACCTGGCTCTGTTGATATCAGATATTCCTTGGCAGTGCAAAAGAATGGTGTGTTGTTTCTACAGTTTTAATTGTTTCTGGTTCAATAGGTCGGAGTCAAACAGTCAGCTGATATAAAAAGTTTAACTCTACTGATTTTCTGACTTACATCAGTTGAATATCTGGTCCAGAAAGCTGACAAGTCCATTGCCATCGTACTCATAAAGAAGAGGAATGAAGGGGTTTAAAATGAAATGATGTAATTGTGTTTGCAGGTTGACTGCAGTGAGTATCAGCCTCGTGGGAGAAGCAAACCCATCTACTGCGTAAGAGTCTATGACCCCTTTTGTGGCTCTGATGGCAAAACCTATAACAACAAGTGTTCCTTCTGTAAAGCAGTCTTGTAAGTACAGAACGTAGTAACTATGTTCTATGTGGACAAAATTTCCACCCCCTGAGCTCTATTGCCCAGGGGACAGTTGTGGCACAAAGGCAACTCCCCTTCCCACACCCAAGGGTGTGACCTTCCCAACCCCAGAGGGTGCGACCTTCCCATTCTCAGGGGTGCAAACCTGTGCAAACAGCCTGAAGAGCACATAGCCAGGTTGCAGGGTATGGATGGGCCCAGGAGTGGGGTCAGGGGGAGGTGGGGGAGGAAACA